GGGGAAGGGGAGAATAGTGAAATTAAATCTAAGACTAATTCTTCAACTGTGTAAAGAGTAAGATCTAACTTTTGTACTATTCTTTTACTAAAGCTAATGATGAATGTATCTTCAGGTGGGTATTTTGGATGCGAATAGAGCGTGGCCTCTTCCTCCAAATCAGTTTGCCTTACTGTTATGAAAAACAAACAAACAAAAAACACCCAAGCAAAAAGCTGCATAGAACTGTGGGGGTTTTCTTTACTTTTCTTGCATAAAATGAAAAACAGACTCTGTTTGCAAACAGCACCGAGTGAGGAATCAAAAAGCTCTTGGTGGCTTGAATGGGTTTATTTTACTTTGGCCATAAAACTGCACGACGTGTAAAATTCAGGCAAAATTATAACATTCCTTTTCTGAGATGGTTTTAAAATTATTTTTCCATTCTGTGATCTTTTTACTCTTTCAGGAGGGGAGCCTATTTAAAGGCAAGGAAAGCGTATCTTTTGTTCTTATCTCTGTATGTACACACCTATTGGTACCTAGCAATCCAAACGGCTTAAACAAGAAAGAATACCCAGTCAGCTCCTCCATTTTAAGTGGGATAGGTACAGCCCGTGCTGTTACGATCACGAATGTAAACACTGGGTCAGGCAGCGTTCCTGGTTTGTTTTGGGGTTTTTATTTTATTTTATTTTATACCTCTTTTCTCCTGCATCCTCTTTTTCTTGGACCCTCAGGTCTGCAAGTACGGGGGTGGTGGTGGTGGGTTTTTTTAGGCTGTTTGTGCATGCGGTAGCATTCCCCTGACCCTGCTGAGCCACTGGTTTGTGCCATTAGCTAAACTTCATTACTAGCCGCGAAGCTGGTAGTGGTGGCAGCAGAATAGTTTAAAATGCAAAGCAAATGCGATGGTAACGGTTAACTGACCCTGTGTACAGTATAGTGTTGCTCATCCAAAAATATTGCTTAGTTTAGCCCCAGTTTTACTTTTAAATGTTTAGCTCTTATTATGTGCATGGAAGTCGTGGGGGGGGGAACACTTCCAACAGTGGGAAAGCTGTTGACTGCATCATTGTGCTGGTCTGATTTGGTGTCTAAAGAGGCAATTGTTTCTTGTTTAGGTCAGTTAATGAAGATAAAAATCACCTTTTTTTTCTCCTTCTTTTTTTCCTTTTGATGTGTCTTTCTCCCAGGAGTGTGTTAGGAAGTCAACCTGTAAATAACTTGCGAACATAAGCATTTGTACTTGATCCAGTAGGACTGTAAGGAGTAGTGATGTATCCTACCTGAGGCTGTAATAAAGTGTACATTTTTATAACGCCGCCTTGCCCTGGCTTCTCTGACGCGCGGGGGCGGCCCGCGGAAGGGGGTCG